TACAAATTCTTCTTGGCCAGCTGTCGAATGCCTTTAATGGAGCATTCTTACTGATGATATACCTTTTGATTCCGATTATATGACGCAAATCCACAGAGTAGGACAGCATTTTTATAACCGAGTCAAGAAAACTCACCGAAATGTCCCTAAATGCGCTGACTATGTCCACTACAAAACGAAAGAGCGTTTAGCACGTTTTCCCCAGATTCAGTGGAGATTGCCTCCGAAACAGTATCAACAAGAAGGTCCATCCGTAAGAATTTACTTTGGACATGAAGTAGCCAAGTTAGATACCAAAAGTGAATGTGATTACAGTAAGTTGCTCTTAATACTTGGCCTATTATATTTAATGCCGTTTATGCGCAACTGAGGCTTTCTAGTTTTGACGATACCGGTCACATGATCGAAGACAGCCAAGCTCGGATTTTTCACAAATTGTCGCCCATTCCAATGCTCTTGACTCGTCCCAGACATATGACTTCACGAATTCCTTCCAGTCAACTTTTCATGTCACAACCGAATTCTTGGCTGTCTTGTGAAAAGGCATGAGTTCCAGATGTGCATTTGGCAATGTTCATACAAAATGTAGCGTGCAAAGTGTGAATATTTGGTATGCAAACTTTATTGGTGTTGAATGAGAGAGCTTGAGAACTGGCCTCACCGACCATCCGCACATATCTCATCCCAAGCCCTGTAGGTTCATACAGCAGGTTAACAACATTCGAGGGGATGTGGTCGTATGCATGGGAAGCCACAATCTCTCCCCGTGTGCACCAATGACGAGGGGTGGAAGGCTGTTTTGGTGGGGCTTATTCGCCTATAAAAATAAGAAGCAAGGAAGGCGTGAGAGAAGGATTTTAATGTGAAGTAGCAGTTGTCCGATTAAGAATTCCATGAACGGCAACCTGACGAAATTGCGCCCTCAGCACAGTTTTATACGTTGAAGTTGCATGAGGCTGACTTGCCTTAACCTCATCAATTATGCACAGAATAATATAATTTTATGAAGTCCCCAAACTGACTATCCGCAGGCAACACCACCACCACCACCACTAACATGACCGAACCAACATAGTCTCCATTCTCGGAACTATTACCACAACCATCATTTTCGTCATTAACGTCAGCACCAACAGAAGCCTATCACACTTCTAATCAGTATTCACTCAAATCGAGTGGGCAGCCAGACTGCTGTTTCATCCCTACAGCCAGTAAGCGAAGGAGGGTTGAAAAGTTGGATCCTTGACGAACGAATGTGAACATAAATCATCCTATCACACGACAAGCTTCTTTTGGACACGGACTGTGGTCGTCGAAATGTAGAAAGTGGAATATAAAGTATCCGAGGCCAGAGATTGGGATCAGGAGGCGACAGAAAGAGGCCACTAAATTAGCGTAGAATTTGGTTAGATCCTTAGCAAACCAACTCACATTTGGGCATTTTCTTTCCTCTTACATACTGTCAGACACTGTGAAAGCTACGAACTAAGATCGTAGTGGCAGACTGAGTTTAGAAAAGAAGAGACTTCGAGAAGGTCTATTCCAATGACAGTAAGCATTCGACGACACTTGTACAAATATTAAATATTAATGAGGCTGCAGTAGCGTTAAGTTGGGGTAAAAAATGAATGAATATATATATTTTAAAATTTATGATTACAAAAGGAGCAAAAAATATATAAATTCGAGAATACTTAGCAAGTTAAAAGTTTTTAAGACTAAATTAATCGTAGATATATGAAGTGTATTCACCCTATTTCGTTTAAGGTAATAAAGGGACTGGTAGTTGAATTT